GAGGAGAGAGCGAGTGAGAGGGGAGAGCTACAGGGAGGAGAGAGCGAGTGAGAGGGGAGACGGACGGGAGAGTCGGCTTAGGGAGGGGGAGACAAAGGAGAGAGCGCAGGGCGTGAGAAGGGAGATGCAGAAAGTGAGGGAGGGATAGGGAGGAGAGGGCAGGAACAGGGAGGGGAGGGTAAGGAGAGGGCAGGGAGGGGAGGGCAGGGACAGGGAGGAGAGGGCAGGGACAGGGAGGAGAGGGCAGGGATAGGGAGGAGAGGGCAGGGACAGGGAGGAGAGGGCAGGGACAGGGAGGAGAGGGCAGGGATAGGGAGGGGAGGGCAGGGAGAGGGAAAGGAGGGGTAGGGAGGGGACCCCAATGCGGGCTGAGAGGGGGTCCCCCGTGCCGAGGGGGTCTCGACGCGGGGGTGGGGGCCTCGGGGTTCCGGGCCCCCGGGGGTGCGGGAGCTGGCGGAGCTGGAGCGTGGAGAGCGTGAGGGACGCGCGCCCCGGTGAGGGATGAGCGGGAGATGCGTGGCAGCACAGCAAGTGGGTTCATGGACCCATCTGTGCGGAGCTGCGAGTGCTGTCCTCTCGTGTGCCGCGTGGGGTGTTCTCCAGTCTCCATCCGTCACTCCTTCACTCTGTCACTCCTTCACTCCTTCACTCCGTCACTCTGTCACTCCTTCACTCCGTCACTCCATCACTCCGTCACTCCTTCACTCTGTCACTCCTTCACTCCTTCACTCTGTCACTCCTTCACACCGTCACTCCGTCACTCCTTCACTCCGTCACTCCGTCACTCCTTCACTCCATCACTCCTTCACTCCTTCACTCCGTCACTCCTTCACACCGTCACTCCGTCACTCCGTCACTCCGTCACTTCACTCCTTCACACCGTCACTCCGTCACTCCGTCACTCTGTCACTCTGTCACTCCTTCACTCCGTCACTCCACTCCTTCACTCCGTCACTCCGTCACTCCTTCAATCTGTCACTCCTTCACTCCGTCACACCGTCACTCCGTCACTCTGTCACTCCGTCACTCTGTCACTCCACTCCTCCACTCCTTCACTCCTTCACTCCTTCACTTTGTCACTCCGTCACTCCTTCACTCCACTCCTTCACTCCTTCACTCCGTCACTCCTTCACTCCGTCACTTCACTCCTTCACACCGTCACTCTGTCACTCCTTCACTCCGTCACTCCTTCACTCCACTCCTCCACTCCTTCACTCCGTAACTCCTTCACTCCGTCACTCCACTCCTCCACTCCTTCACTCCACTCCTCCACTCCTTCACTCCGTCACTCCGTCACTTCACTCCTTCACACCGTCACTCCTTCACTCCGTCACTCCGTCACTCCTTCACTCCACTCCTTCACTCCGTCACTCTTTCACTCCGTCACTCTGTCAATCCTTCACTCCTTCACTCTGTCACTCCTTCACTCCTTCACTCTGTCACTCTGTCACTCCGTCACTCCTTCACTCCGTCACTCTGTCACTCCTTCACTCCTTCACTCTGTCACTCCGTCACTCTGTCACTCCTTCACTCCTTCACTCCTTCACTCTGTCACTCCTTCACTCCTTCACTCTGTCACTCCGTCACTCTGTCACTCCTTCACTCCGTCACTCTGTCACTCCTTCACTCCTTCACTCTGTCACTCCGTCACTCTGTCACTCCTTCACTCTGTCACTCTGTCACTCCTTCACTCCGTCACTCCTTCACTCCTTCACTCTGTCACTCCTTCACTTTGTCACTCCTTGAATCCTTCACTCTATCACTCTGTCACTCCTTCACTCCGTCACTCTGTCACTCTGTCACTCCTTCACTCCGTCACTCCGTCACTCCGTCACTGTCACTCCTTCACTCTGTCACTCCTTCGCTCCGTCACTCTGTCACTCCTTCACTCCTTCACTCTGTCACTCCTTCACTCTGTCACTCTTTCACTCTGTCACTCCTTCACTCCTTCACTCCGTCACTCTGTCACTCCTTCACTCTGTCACTCCTTCAACTCCGTCACTCTGTCACACCTTCACTCCTTCACTCCATCACTCCGTCACTCCACTCCTTCACTCCGTCACTCCGTCACTCCTTCACTCCGTCACTCCGTCACTCCGTCACTTCGTCACTCCTTCACTCCATTCCGTCACTCCTTCACTCCGTCACTCCTTCACTCCTTCACTCCGTCACTCCTTCATTCTGTCACTCCGTCACTCCTTCACTCTGTCACTCCTTCACTCTGTCACTCCTTCACTCCGTCACTCCTTCACTCTTTCACTCCTTCACTCCGTCACTCCGTCACTCTGTCACTCCTTCACTCCTTCACTCTGTCACTCCTTCACTCCGTCACTCCTTCACTCTTTCACTCCTTGACTCCTTCACTCCGTCACTCCGTCACTCTCACTCCTTCATTCAACATTCATGGCCAAGTGTCACAGTGGGGCAGCACCCTGCTGAGAAGGAGTCTTGAGACTCGGGGAGGATGATGCATCGTCATTATTCCTGCTGCTGCTATTACTGTTGCTTCCACTGCTGCTACTACTATCGCTGCTGCTTCTACTGCTGCTGCTCCTGTTGCCGCTGCTACTGTTGCTTTACTGCTGCTGCTGCTGCTCCTGTTGCTGCTTCTACTGCTCCTGTTATTGCTGCTGCTAAAACTATTGCTGCTGCTATTGTTGCTGCTTCTACTGCTGCTGCTGCTGCTCCTGTTGCTGCTTCTACTGCTCCTGTTATTGCTGCTGTTGCTGCTTCTACTGCTGCTGTTGCTGCTTCTACTGCTGCTGTTGCTGCTTCTACTGCTGCTGTTGCTGCTTCTACTGCTGCTGTTGCTGCTTCTACTGCTGCTGTTGCTGCTTCTACTGCTGCTGTTGCTGCTTCTACTGCTGCTGTTGCTGCTTCTACTGCTGCTGTTGCTGCTTCTACTGCTGCTGTTGCTGCTTCTACTGCTGCTGTTGCTGCTTCTACTGCTGCTGTTGCTGCTTCTACTGCTGCTGTTGCTGCTTCTACTGCTGCTGTTGCTGCTTCTACTGCTGCTGTTGCTGCTTCTACTGCTGCTGTTGCTGCTTCTACTGCTGCTGTTGCTGCTTCTACTGCTGCTGTTGCTGCTTCTACTGCTGCTGTTGCTGCTTCTACTGCTGCTGTTGCTGCTTCTACTGCTGCTGTTGCTGCTTCTACTGCTGCTGTTGCTGCTTCTACTGCTGCTGTTGCTGCTTCTACTGCTGCTGCTTCTACTGCTGCTGCTTCTACTGCTGCTGCTTCTACTGCTGCTGCTTCTACTGCTGCTGCTTCTACTGCTGCTGCTTCTACTGCTGCTGCTGCTCCTGTTGCTGCTTCTACTGCTCCTGTTATTGCTGCTGCTGCTTCTACTGCTGCTGTTTCTGCTTCTACTGCTGTTGTTGCTGCTTCTACTGCTACTGCTGCTGCTCCTGTTGCTGCTTCTACTGCTCCTGTTATTGCTGCTGCTGCTACTATTGCTGCTTCTATTGCTGCTGTTGCTGCTGTTGCTGCTTCTACTGCTGCTGCTTCTACTGCTGCTGCTTCTACTGCTGCTGCTGCTCCTGTTGCTGCTTCTACTGCTCCTGTTATTGCTGCTGCTGCTACTATTGCTGTTGTTGCTGCTTCTACTGCTACTGCTGCTGCTCCTGTTGCTGCTTCTACTGCTCCTGTTATTGCTGCTGCTGCTACTATTGCTGCTTCTATTGCTGCTGTTGCTGCTGTTGCTGCTTCTACTGCTGCTGCTTCTACTGCTGCTGCTTCTACTGCTGCTGCTGCTCCTGTTGCTGCTTCTACTGCTCCTGTTATTGCTGCTGCTGCTACTATTGCTGCTGTTGCTGCTTCTACTGCCGCTGCTTCTACTGCTGCTGTTTCTGCTTCTACTGCTGCTGTTTTTGCTTCTACTGCTGCTGTTGCTGCTTCTACTGCTGCTGTTGCTGCTTCTACTGCTGCTGCTTCTATTGCTGCTGTTTCTGCTTCTACTGCTGCTGTTTCTGCTTCTACTGCTGCTGTTGCTGCTTCTACTGCTGCTGTTGCTGCTTCTACTGCTGCTGCTTCTACTGCTGCTGTTTCTGCTTCTACTGCTGCTGTTTCTGCTTCTACTGCTGCTGTTGCTGCTTCTACTGCTGCTGTTTCTGCTTCTACTGCTGCTGTTGCTGCTTCTACTGCTGCTGTTTCTGCTTCTACTGCTGCTGTTGCTGCTTCTACTGCTGCTGTTGCTGCTTCTACTGCTACTATTGCTACTACTACTGCTGCTGCTGCTGCTATTGCTGGTAACACTGTGTGTGTATGTAGGGGTAACACTGTGTGTGTGTGTGCAGGGGGTAACACTGTGTGTGTGTGCAGGAGGTAGCACTGTGTGTGTGTGCAGGAGGTAACGCCGTGTGTGTGTGCAGGAGGTAACACTGTGTGTGTGCAGGAGGTAACACTGTGTGTGTGTGTGCAGGATGTGACACTGTGTGTGTGTGTGCAGGATGTGACACTGTGTGTGTGCATGAGGTAACACCGTGTGTGTGTGCAGGAGGTAACACTGTGTGTGTGTGCAGGATGTGACACTGTGTGTGTGTGTGCAGGATGTGACACTGTGTGTGTGTGTGCAGGATGTGACACTGTGTGTGTGCAGGAGGTAGCACTGTGTGTGTGTGTGCAGGAGGTAACACTGTGTGTGTGTGTGCAGGATGTGACACTGTGTGTGTGCAGGAGGTAACACCGTGTGTGTGTGCAGGAGGTAACACTGTGTGTGTGTGTGCAGGAGGTGACACTGTGTGTGTGTGCAGGAGGTGACACTGTGTGTGTGTGTGCAGGATGTGACACTGTGTGTGTGCAGGAGGTAACACTGTGTGTGTGCAGGAGGTAACACTGTGTGTGTGTGCAGGATGTGACTGTGTGTGTGTGCAGGAGGTGACACTGTGTGTTTGCAGGAGGTGACACTGTGTGTGTGTGCAGGAGGTAACACTGTGTGTGTGTTTGCAGGGGATAACCCTGTGTGTGCGTAACTGTGTGTGGGTGCGTGTGTGCATGTGCAGGAGGTAAAGCACACGGAAGCCGTGATCCTGGTGTTGCCGCGGGTGACCAGGGCAGTGAGGGCAGTAGCGAGGAGGAGGAGGGGGCTGAGGGCAGCCTGGGCTGCCCCCCGCGATACGTTGGGGGAGGGGAACAGCTGGCGGTAAGCGAGGTGAGACGCGAACCTTCACCCCCCGACCCCTCACCCCTTACCCCTCACCCCGACCCCTCACCCCCCACCCCCTCCCCTCACCCTCCCCGACCCCTCACCCTCCCCCCGACCCCTCACCCCCCTCACTCCCCTCACCCCCCTTACCCCCCCCCCTCCAGCCCCTCGCCCCTTCACCCCCCAGCCCCTCCGACCCCTTGCCCCCCCAGCTCCTCACCCCCCGCCCTGACCTCTAACCCTCCCGACCCCTCACCCCCCCCCCCGACTCCTCACCCCCCTCACCCCCTTCACCCCCCCGGCCCCCCCCCACGACCCTTCACCCCCCCTGACCCCTTGCCCCCCCCCGGCTCCACGCCCCCCCCCCAACCCCTGACCCTTAACCCCCCTCACCCCCCGACCCCTCCCCCCTCCCCCCCCGACCTCTCACCCCCCCCCGACCCCTCACCCCCCGACCCTTCACCCCCCGACCCTTCACCCCCCCCGACCCCTTGCCCCACCCGGCTCCACGCCCCCTCCCAACCCCCGACCCTTAACCCCCCTCACCCCCCCGACCCCTCCCCCCCCCGACTCCTCACCCCCCCCCCCCGACCCCTAACCCCCCCGACCCCTCACCCCCCTCACCCTCCGACTCTGCGACCTCTCACCCTGAGGCAGGGTTTGGTTTGAGTGGTGAAGCCCCACTCGGGCCCTGAACCCTTCAGGACCCCCTCCTTTCTGGACCTACCCCCCCCAAAAAACTAACTTCAAAGGGCCAGCAGCAAGCAGCGCTATAATCACTATCACAGTAGTGACACAGTAGCAGTAGTGACACAGTAGCAGTGGTGACACAGTAGCAGTAGTGACACAGTAGCAGTGGTGACACAGTAGTGACACAGTAAACGCGGGTGTCTTGAATTGAGCCTGGTTATTAGGGCCGAGAGCGAAGAGACGGTGGTGGTGATTAGGAGGAGTGTGCAGGGCAGTGGCGTGACCTGCAGTGTGGTTGGTGGGTGGATGAGTGGGTAGGTGAGCAGGTGGGTGGGTGTGTTGTGACCTGCATTGTGGTGAGTGGGTGGGTGAGTTGTGACCTGCATTGTGGTGAGTGGGTGAGTGGGTGAGTTCTGACTTGCATTGTGGTGAGTGGGTGGGTGAGTTGTGATCTGCATTGTGGTGAGTGGGTGGATGAGTTGTGACCTGCATTGTGGTGAGTGGGTGAGTGGGTGAGTTGTGATCTGCATTGTGTTGAGTGGGTGGGTGAGTTGTGATCTGCATTGTGGTGAGTGGGTGGGTGAGTTGTGACCTGCATTGTGGTGAGTGGGTGAGTTGTGACTTGCATTATGGTGAGTGGGTGGGTGAGTTGTGATCTGCATTGTGGTGAGTGGGTGGGTGAGTTGTGACCTGCATTGTGGTGAGTGGGTGAGTGGGTGAGTTGTGATCTGCATTGTGGTGAGTGGGTGGGTGAGTTGTGATCTGCATTGTGGTGAGTGGGTGGGTGAGTTGTGACCTGCAATGTGGTGAGTGGGTGGGTGAGTTGTGATCTGCATTGTGTTGAGTGGGTGGGTGAGTTGTGATCTGCATTGTGGTGAGTGGGTGGGTGAGTTGTGATTGGCATTGTGGTGAGTGGGTGGGTGAGTTGTGACCTGCATTGTGGTGAGTGGGTGGGTGAGTTGTGATCTGCATTGTGTTGAGTTGGTGGGTGAGTTGTGATCTGCATTGTGTTGAGTGGGTGGGTGAGTTGTGATCAGCATTGTGGTGAGTGGGTGGGTGAGTTCTGATTTGCATTGTGGTGAGTGGGTGGGTGAGTTGTGATCTGCATTGTGGTGAGTGGGTGGGTGAGTTGTGATCTGCATTGTGTTGAGTAGGTGGGTGAGTTGTGATCTGCATTGTGGTGAGTAGGTGGGTGAGTTGTGACCTGCAATGTGGTGAGTGGGTGGGTGAGTTGTGATCTGCATTGTGGTGAATGGGTGGGTGAGTTGTGATCTGCATTGTGGTGAGTGGGTGGATTGTTGGGTGAGTTGTGACCTGCAGTGTGGTGAGTTTATGGGTGAGTTATCTGACTCGCCTGGTGTGCAAGGAGATTGTGGGTTCGATCTCGACCCTGACGCCTGCTGCCTGTATATTTGGAGACTGTGTCTCTCTCGCTCCCCGTGGTGCTGTGGATTTTCTCCACATTTAGAAACATGTGCTTCGAGTATTTTGTTGCTATAAATTCGCACGTGATGAGCCACTTCGTTGAGCTCTTATTTGTGACCAGGTCGCTTCTGAGAAAGAGCTCTATCGCTCAGTGGGATTTACACCTGGTGAAATTTAAAAAAAGTTTAGTTTTGAGTTGTGACCTGCAGCGTGATGGTTGAGCAGTGTGGGCGAGACGGCACGGTCAAACATGTGAACTGCCGGATGGTTATCGACGAGGCCCCCCTCTGCTAAGTGTGGGGGTCCCACTGGAGCCCTGGGTCGGTGCCACTCCCTGAGCGATCACGTGTTTGTGGAGAAACAGGGGGCCTCTCTGCTCACCACGCATTCTGGTCGAGAGATCATGGTGGGCAGAAACACTGAAGCCACCACTGCAGCGCCACCACCTCCTCCCTGCCAACGCTGTCCACCCTCAGTCAGAAATACTGCAGCAGCAGTAGCTGCTGCACAGCAGACACGTGAAGGCTTTCAATACGGGCTTACACAGAGACCGACAGCTTCACAGGAACCCATCGACTTACAAAGGGACCCACGACCTCACTAGAGACCCAAAGGTTCGCACAGAGACGCGTGGACTCGCACAGAGACCTACAGTCTCACTGGAGACCTAGAGCCTCGCACAGAGACCCATAGACTCGTGGAAACCTCTCCAATGCCGTCCTCATCGTATCTGTGGGGCCCCGGACCCTCCAGGGCCCCGGACTCTCCATGGCCCAAATGCCCCCGCTGCTCTGTCCTGCTGGAAAGTGCCGGCAACAGCTGGAATCCGCTGGTTGTCATGGGAACGACCCTTGCTCAAACCCCCTGCATTGTACCAGCTCCACGCGTGCTCCCTCCCTCCCTCCCTGCTTTCCCAATCTCTCCCTCTCCTCCTCTCCGCCCCTCTCCGCCCCTCTCCCTGCACGCTCCTCTTCCCCCAGTTTAATCCTTTCCTCGCTCCTCCTCCCCCATCTCCCGCCTCCCCCCGGTGACGTCATAGCCAGTTCATTCTCTCTGCGCCCCTCCGTGCCTCCGTGAGCGCCCTGTCCAGTCGGCGATATTCACAGCGGCTCCTCCATCCCAGATTCCTCTCTTCTCTTCCTCCTCCTCTCTACTGACATAATACCTCTGTCTCTCTCTCTCTCTACCTAGGGCCTCCGCGTCTCCCTCGCATATTTCTCCGTATCATTTCTGTAAAGATCTCTCTCGTTCTGTCTCTCCCGTCCGCCTCCTGGCCGTGCGACCGTCGCTCTGTGGCATGCGTCTCCGAGCGGGACCCCCCGTGGCCGGCGTCCGCCGTTCGTGACGGAGGGAGCAACGCTTGGAGCGAACGGCCACACAGCAAGCTCCAGTGCCGCTCCCTCCGTCTCCTGCTGACGTCACCGCTCGCTCTCCCTCCCTCTATCGCAGTCGCCTCCCTCACTCTCTCCGCAAGGGGCTCCATCTTTCTCTCGCCACAGGATTCTCTTCCCCCATCTCTCTCCACTTTGTCTCTCCGCTATCTCTCTCCTCCGTCTCTCTCCTGTCTCTCTCTTCTCTGTCTCTCTCCGTTGTCTGCCCGCGCGTGCTCTCTCCATTTTGTCTCTCTCTTTTTCTCTCCGCTCTCTGTCTGCGCTCTTCTCCTCTCCATGGTCTCCATTGTCTCCCTCTCCATTGTCTCCATTGTCTCCATTGTCTCCCTCTCCATTGTCTTCCTCTCTCCGCTCTCTCTCCTCCGCTCTCTGTCACCTTGCGTCGATGACAGCCATTGAGTGAGGGGTGGGTGAGGGAGCGGTGAGGGAGCGGTGAGGAGCGGTGAGGAGCGGTGAGGAGCGGTGGGGAGCGGTGGGGAGTGGTGATTAGTTGTGGGGATTGGTGGGGGAGCGGTCGGTGAGCAGTGGGGAGCAGTGGGGAGCAGTGATTAGTCGTGAAGAGCAGTGAGGGAGCGGTGAGGGTGCGGTGAGCGAGCGGTGAGGGTGCGGTGAGGGAGCGGTGAGGGTGCGGTGAGGGGAGCGGTGAGGAGAGAGAGAGGAGACTGGCAGAGTCGGGGGGGAGGACAGTGCAGCTGCTCCGAGGCGAGGCGCAGAGATTGGAACCTGGTTGCCTGGTCCCTCGAATCTGTCACCTGCTACCTCTCTGCGTCTAACACCTGAGACCTCGCGTTTGGTATCCCCGAGAGCTGGTTCCTGCCACCTGGCACCTGAGTAGCCGCAGGTATCCTGCACTTGGTGTCTCGGAGCAGGTAGCTGAGCCAGAGGTAGCTGAGCCATAGGTAGCTGAGCCAGAGGTAGGTGAGCCAGAGGTCGCCGAGCCAGAGGTAGCTGAGCCAGAGGTACCCGAGCCAGAGGTAGCTGAGCCAGAGGTAGCTGAGCCAGAGGTAGCTGAGCCAGAGGTAGCTGAGCCGCAGGTAGCTGAGCCAGAGGTAGCTGAGCCAGAGGTAGCTGAGCCAGAGGTACCTGAGCCAGAGTTAGCCGAGCCAGAGGTAGCTGAGCCAGAGGTAGCTGAGCCAGAGGTAGCTGAGCCGCAGGTAGCTGAGCCGCAGGTAGCTGAGCCAGAGGTAGCCGAGCCAGAGGTAGCTGAGCCAGAGGTACCCGAGCCAGAGGTAGCTGAGCCAGAGGTAGCTGAGCCAGAGGTAGCCGAGCCAGAGGTAGCTGAGCCAGAGGTAGCTGAGCCGCAGGTAGCTGAGCCAGAGGTAGCCGAGCCAGAGGTAGCTGAGCCAGAGGTACCCAAGCCAGAGGTAGCTGAGCCAGAGGTAGCTGAGCCAGAGGTAGCTGAGCCGCAGGTAGCTGAGCCAGAGGTAGCTGAGCCAGAGGTAGCCGGCGTCCGGCATCGCCGGGCAAACGATGGCGCACCGGCGTGCGGAGCGGGCCAGGCCCTCGGGCCTGCGCCTGCACCAGCGCCTGCTGCACTGCAACATGGAGCCGGGCACGCAGCGCGTGGTCGTCGTCTCCATCCTGCTGGGCCTCGTCGCCATCAACCTCATTCTCATGTACCTCCTCGCCTGGCAGTGAGCTGTCGGGAGGGGAGGGGCGGGGGGGGTGGACAACTCTGGGGGATGTGGGTACGCATCGTGGCGGGTGGGTGGACAACTCGGCGGATGGGCGGACAATGAGGAGATGGTCATCGTGGATTAAGAAAATCGGTGGACGGTGGTAACGGACGGCGTGGATTAACATAACACGTGGGTGGACGATCGTCAGGTTGACAAACGCGGAGCAAATAAAGCGGGTTACGGATGGCGTGGATGGACGTGCAGACAGGGGGTGGACGGTCGAGAGACGAGTGGCCGGCGTGGGCGAGCGTGGCGCTGATGAGGACCTCGGCCGCTGTGACCCAAAACAGCAAGCGGCAAGCGGCGGCGTCCATAGATGGGAGTGGAGCGGGGGGGGGGAGGTGGTGATGGTGGTGGTGGAGATGGGAGGAGGGGATTTCAGAGTTGAGTGTGGCGAGGGAGAAAGCAGAGAGATTGAGGTGACCCGCGGTGGGTGGGTGGGTGGGGTGAGTGAGCGGTTTAAGGAGGGAGTGGGTGAGTGGTTAAGTGAGTTGACGGGTGAGCAATCGGGTGAGTGAATGAATGAGTGAGCGAGTGGGTGGGTGGGTGAATAGTTAAATTAGTGGGTGGATAGGGTGAGTGAGTGGTTGAAGGAGGGAGTGGGTGAGTGGTTGAATGAGTTAATGGGTGAGTGAGTGGGTGGGTGAGTGGGTGGATAACTGAATAGTTAAACTAGTGGGTGGATAGGGTGAGTGAGTGGGTTGATAACTGAATAGTTAAACTAGTGGGTGGGTGAGTGGTTGAAGGGGAGGATGGCGGTGAGTGGTTGAGTGAGTTGAGGGGTGAGTGAGCAGGTGGGTACATGAGTGAGCAAGTGGGTGATTGGGTGAGCGATTGGCTGGGTGAGTGAATGAATGGTTAAGTGAGTGCGTGAATGAGCGAGTGGTTGTTGGTGGGTAGGTGGGTAAGTGGTGGTGGTGATTCACGCTGTGGCGAATGAGACAACTCGGGTGTCTGGAAGACCGAGTGCTCAAGACGGGAACAGGTGGAGCACAGGGAGGTGAACAACGTGGGTGAACAATGCTCGCAGGTGGACAATGCGTGCACAGTGTGGATGAACAACCTTTGTATTGTATTTCATCATCATAGGAAGGCTCCATCGCTCGTTTTTAAGAGGGTCCTGCCGAGCGTTGGCAGTAGGGCGCGACGTTGTTGCTGCTGCCACCGCCGCCGTGTGTTTTCCGCTCGAGTGATGCGTGAGATCCGGAGCGTGCGCTGCGAGCGAAGCGCTCCACGCTCGTCGACTCTCTCGTGCTGCGCACCGCCACGTTAACCGGGGCGGCCCGCCGGGGTCGAACCGCGAACCTCCGCAACCGGCGTCGCACGCGCTACCTCACTACCGCACTACCGCTGGGCCCTAGCGTTCTCACCACCGCCCAACAATGGCCGCCGGTGGACAACGGGTGGGTGAGCAAAGCCAGCGTGTGGACGAGCAATCGCTGGTGGACGACGCGTGGGTGAGCAGGGCGGGCGCATGAACGTGTGAACAACGAACGAGGGTGTGGACCGTCAGAGGATGGAGCGGTGTGGGATGGTGACCCCACGTGCGGGTGGACAATGTGTGACTGAACGCCGTGCGGGGGAGCGACTCGGGTGAGCGACGTGGGTGAGCGACGATCAGCACAGACACAGGGAGCCGTTGGAAATGAAAGGGGTCCTGACACTAGGATTTTGGGTGGGGGTTAGGGCAGCCTTAACCCCCTAGCAGGAGGCCCCTTCTAGGGAAGAACGCCCCACACTATTCCTTCGCTCCTTCACTCGTTCCTTCATTCGCTCCTTCACTCGCGCCTTCACTTGTTCCTTCACTCGCTCCTTCACTCTCTCCTGCTAATCTTCCCCTGATCCTGGCCACGCTGGCCCATAGGCAGTGCCGGTGTCGGTGGCGCCGCCGACTCCCGGGCGGATCGGCAGCCGTGGTGAGTGACGCCGCGGTGTGGGCAGCAATTGGTGAACACGGTGTTCTCCACGTGCCCCTGTGTCTCCGTGTCCCCGTGTCTCTGTGTCCCCGTGTCTCACGAGGGTGGGGTGGCGCTAGCCGAGGCTCTGTGGGACCATGTGTCTCTGTGTGACCACGTCTCTCTGCGTCGCTCTGCATCTCCGTGTCTCTCCGTGTCCGCGTGCCTGTGCGCCGCAGCTGCTGGACGAGGGAGGGGTGGTGCTTGCCGAGGCTCTGTGGGACCACGTGTCTCTGTGTGACCACGTCTCTCTGCGTCGCTCTGCATCTCCGTGTCTCTCCGTGTCCTCGTGCCTGTGCGCCGCAGCTGCTGGACGAGGGAGGGGTGGTGCTTGCCGAGGCTCTGTGGGACCACGTGTCTCTGGACGCGCAGGAGCTCCCGTTCCAGGCCGGCCAGCTGCTCCGCGTCACCGACGCGTCCGACCGCGCCTGGTGGTGGGGCTGCACCGGCGATGCCGCCGGATGGTTCCCGGCCTCCTTCGTCAGGGTGAGTCTGGGCGGGGGGTGAGCGGGGAGGGTGAGTGGGGGGTGAGCGGGGAGGGTGAGTGGGGGGTGAGCCGTAGTGCAGCGGTAAGCGCGCTACGCTCTGAACCCGGCGCACCGAGTTCGATTCCCGCTCACGACCACCACCACCGGTGACGATTATCTGATCCGGTCCTGGGCCTCCCTTAGGTCGACTCAGCCTCAAATGACTACCTGGTGCTGGCCACCCACCCCCTCGTGTGCCGTGCCGGCCTTAATAGGTGCGTCCCGCTAACAGCCCCAACAGTCTGCTAAGTCTACGCGGGAAGGGGGAGGGATCTATGGTGAGTAAGTAGGGGTAGGTGGTGAGGAGTACGGGTGAGTAGTGGGGAGTGCCTCCTCACCCGCCCCCTCACCCCTTCCGTTTGCGTGTCGCAGCTGAGGGTGAACCAGGAGGAAGGCTACGAGGATAGTGAGGGTGAGGGTGATGTGGCTGCCGAGGGGGAGGCGGAGGGAGACGCCGGGGGGGGGCCCGCATTGAGGGGAGCCGCGGGGGGCCCTGAGGGGGGCCCTGAGGGGGGCCCCGTGTCCCTCCTGCGCCGCGTGTCCCTGCCGGGCGCCGCTCGGCAGCAGATGAGGACCAACGTCATCGGGGAGATCCTCAGCACCGAGAGAGACTACATCAAGCATCTGCGTGACATCTGTGAGGTGTGGGACCGCGCTCGCCACGCTCACCACACGTCACGCTCACCACACTTCACGCTTGCCACACTTCACACTCGCCACACTTCACGCTCACCACGCTCACTACGCTCACCACGCTCACTACGCTCACCTCTCACCACCCCTCTCTCACCACCCCTCTCACCACCCCTCTCTCACCACCCCTCTCACCACTCTCACCACCCCTCTCTCACCACCCCTCTCACCACCCCTCTCTCACCACCCCTCTCTCACCACCCCTCTCACCACCCCCCTCACCACTCTCACCACCCCTCTCTCACCACCCCCTCTCCCCACCCCTCTCTCACCACCCATCTCTCACCACCCCTCTCTCACCACCCCTCTCTCACCACCCCTCTCTCACCACCCCTCTCTCACCACCCCTCTCTCACCACCCCTCTCTCACCACCCCTCTCACCACCCCTCTCTCACCACCCCAGGGCTATATCCGGCAGTGCCGCAAACGAGTCGACATGTTCTCCGAGGAGCAGCTGTGCGTGATCTTCGGCAACATCGAGCAGATCTTCGCCTTCCAGAGGCGCTTCCAGCACGCCCTCGAGTGCCAGCTGGACGCGGCCGCCCCGCACGCCACCCACATCGGGGCCTGCTTCCTGCTGCACGTGAGCCTCCCTGCGCTGCCCTGCGCTGCCCTGCACTACCGCATCGGCCCGGAGATCCACCCGCTTCCCCCGCACAATACCAACTCGATACCAGCTACCTGCACTACTCCACTACTGTACCCTGCACTACCAGCACCCTGCTCTACTAAAACGCTACCAGCACCCTGTACTACCACCACCCTGCACTACTGAACCCTGCGCTCTGCTCTGTGTGTATGTAAACATGTTTGCTTGTTTCCCTAACCGGGTAATTGAACCTGCATATGGTAGCATGTGCAGGTTCTATGACTGCACGTGTGTGCGTGCGTGAGTGTGTGCGCGTGCGTGAGTGTGTGTGTGTGTGCGTGCGTGCGTGCGTGAGTGTGTGTGTGTGTGTGCTTGCGAGAATTTAATCATCGCTTGCGGCTGCGGTTGGCATCGTCCCCCAATCCTCCTGATGTCGAGGGTAAATGGGCGAGGTTTAGGACTGTGACTCATGCAGCTGCAATTGCTGCTTTGGGTACACGGTCCAGACCTCCCCAGAGACCCTGGCTGATAGAGGAGGTGTTCAGGATGGTTGAGAAAAAGCTACAGGCCCACTGTCACCGGCTGCAGAATCCGACGTCAGAGAATGAGGAGGCTTACCGCAGTCTTCGCTCGGAGGTTCGGAGAGCCGTGAGGCGCTGCAAGGATGGGTGGTGGTCGCGGGTTGCTGAGGAGATGGAGTCTGCCTCAGTGTCCCGCGATCACAAATCTCTATTTAACGCCATCAAAAAAGTAACCTGCAGCGCCACACCTATTACCATCATTAGGGGAAAAAATGGTGTTTCAATCTCCGACCCCCAGGAACAGGTTTGCAGATTTTCTGAGCATTTCTGTGAGGTCCTGGGGGAGGGGAAACCCCTCAGTGAAGAAAACATCGTGGCACAAAGTGAGGATGATCCTGCTGAGGCTGCGGTGCCTCAAATATTGGATGAAGTCACCCCCTGTGAGTGGCTGGCTGAGGTGCCATCTATTGAGGAAGTACTGAAGGCGATCGGGAGTCTGAGACCAGGAAAGGTACCGGGCAGAGATGATCTCCAAAGCGAAATGCTGAGGCAGGGTGACGTTTGTGCACAGACTGCCCTATATGACATCATAACAACAGTCTGGACCACTGGATGGGTTCCGCAGGATTGGAAGGATGCCCTGGTGGTCCCCCTCTTTAAGAAGGGGGACCGCACAGACTGTAACAACTACAGGGGCATCTCCTCAGTGTGCCGGGAAAGGTCCTGGCAAGGATTATTCAACATCGCCTTGCCAGGCACGCTGAGGAGAGGCTTGCGGAGCCCCAATGCAGTTTCAGGAAAGGGCGGTCCTGCACAGATGCCATATTTTCTGTCCGTCTGCTACAGCAGAGGTGTAGGGAATTCCTACAAGACCTACATCTCTGCTTTATTGACCTGGTCAAGGCCTATGATACCATAAGTAGGCCTGGGCTCTGAGTTGTTCTTCGTGCTTTTGGAATCCCTGACCCCCTGCTCACGATCATTAAGGACCTTCATTATGGTGAGCAGGCCCGGGTAAAACTACGTGGTCGGGAGTCAGAGCCATTCCCTGTACACCTTGGGGTGCGACAGGGATGTCCTCTGGCTCCCACATTATTTAACATCTATTTTGACCACGTAGTTCGTGAAGCCTTCAATAGCTGTACCGGGGGAATCTCCATTTGGTACAGATATAATGGGAGGCTGAACGATGCCCGGGTGCGGTCAAGGGATGGCTCCCTATTGCTCAACCATGTTATGTATGCCGATGATTTGGTAATAGCTGCTCATTCAGAGGAGGAGTTGGAGACGCTGCTGCTGAGACTGGAGCGTGCCACTAAGAGATGGGGCCTTACCATCAGCCCCACCAAAACTAAGCACCTGCCTGGGTATTTGTACCATCGGACACTCCACCCCCACAACTCCCAATCGTTGATGGGGCAGTTGTGGAGAGAGTGGAGAGTTTCCCATACCTGGGCAGTGTGCTTATGACCGGCTCCAGTTTAACAGCAGAGGTCTCACTCCGAATCAGTCGAGCGGCAATCTCTTTTCATCGGTTGCGTAACGCTGTGTGGAAGCTACCTGGTCTGTCGCTCCGCACTAAGCTTCAGGTCTTCTCGGCCACGGTCATTCCCTCCCTTCTCTACACTTGCGAAACGTGGACCCCCCTAATGGAACATCTTCACCGGTTAGAAACATTTAGGCTGGCCTGCCTACGATCCATCCTGGGTTTAACCAGACTGGATTGTGTGAGGAGCTCACAAATCCTTGAAAGATCTGGGCAAGGTCCCATCGGTGAGATCCTCCGGCGGGCAAGGCTGCGATGGCTGGGTCATGTAGCCCGCATGCCCAGCCAACGCATGCCGAAACAGCTTTTGTTCGGCCGGATTGAGGGGGCTAAGCGGGCGCGGCACGGGCTAGAGAAGAGATGGAGTGATGTGGTACAGGAGGACGTGGAGCTGAGTGGACTTGCCGATGACTGGTACCAGCGGTGTCAAGATCGGCCTCTGTGGAGGAGGCTCGTGAAGGATGCTACTGGGCAGTTGGAGGTAGTCGCCCTCCAACAACAACGGAGGGCGGAGGAGCGATGCTCACAACAACGAGCGGAGCGCCGGGTGGCTAAAGCACAGCAGGTTGGCACAGTAGGGGGCACAGGTGGTGCATCAGCCAGTCATCTCAGTCAGTCGACCCGTGGCACCTGGGTCTGCCCCGTGACCTCCTGCCAGCGGGCGTTCGACACTTCACGTGGCCTCAGGGTGCACATAGCCTGGCACAAGTGTCGTGGTGACGTCACCGCCACTTAGTGGCGGCTGGCGGTTGTTGTTGCGTGCGTGCATATGTGTGTGTGTGCGTGCGCGTATGTGTGTGTGTGTGTGCGTGCGTGCGCGTGTGTGTGTGTGCGTGCGTGCGCGTGTGTGTGTATGCGTGCGTGCGTATGTGTGTGTGTGCGTGCGTGCGCATGTGTGTGTGTATGCGTGCGTGCGTATGTGTGTGCGTGCATATGTGTGTGTGTGCGTGCGTGCGTATGTGTGTGTGTGTCTGTGTGTGTTCGTGTGTGTCTATGTGTATATGTGTTTATGTATGTGTGTATGTGTCTGTATGTTTGTGTGTATGTGTGTATGTATGTGTGTGTATGTGTGTGTGTGAACTTGGGCCTCCTCTCGGGCAACTCAGCTTCAAATGAGTACCTGGTGCAGTGTGTAAATATCGTCACTGGGGAGACAAAGGCGGCCGGGCGTGGTGCTGGCCACCCACACCCATCGTGTGCCATGCCGGGCTTCATAGTTGCTACTCGCTAACAGCACTTCCCCCTGCAGTCTGTTAAGGCAGGGGTCCCCAACCCTCACGCCGCACAGCAGCAGGAGGTGAGAGCAGTGAGTCCACACGTGGCCCGCCCATTATTTTATTATTTACCACTTCCGTCCGCGCCTCTTTCCCGCACTGCGCACTTGTCTCAGTCACAGTGTTGGTATAAAGCCCACAAGCTCTAACCCCTAGTAGCCACAATGAGTAAGCCCACAAGCTCTAACCCCTAGTAGCCACAATGAGTAAGCCCACAAGCTCTAACCCTAGTAGCCACAATGAGTAAGCCCACAAGCTCTAACCCCTAGTAGCCACAATGAGTAAGCCCACAAGCTCTAACCCCTAGTAGCCACAATGAGTAAGCCCACAAGCTCTAACCCTAGTAGCCACAATGAGTAAGCCCACAAGCTCTAACCCCTAGTAGCCACAATGAGTAAGCCCACAAGCTCTAACCCTAGTAGCCACAATGAGTAAGCCCACAAGCTCTAACCCCTAGTAGCCACAATGAGTAAGCCCACAAGCTCTAACCCCTAGTAGCCACAATGAGTAAGCCCACAAGCTCTAACCGCTAGTAGCCACAATGAGTAAGCCCACAAGCTCTAACCCTAGTAGCCACAATGAGTAAGCCCACAAGCTCTAACCCCTAGTAGCCACAATGAGTAAGCCCACAAGCTCTAACCGCTAGTAGCCACAATGAGTAAGCCCACAAGCTCTAACCCCTAGTAGCCACAATGAGTAAGCCCACAAGCTCTAACCCCTAGTAGCCACAATGAGTAAGCCCACAAGCTCTAACCCCTAGTAGCCACAATGAGTAAGCCCACAAGCTCTAACCCTAGTAGCCACAATGAGTAAGCCCACAAGCTCTAACCCCTAGTAGCCACAATGAGTAAAAAACAAACGTAGCTGGAGAGCTTCCTTGAAAAGGGGGAAAGACCCAATG